TTCGCTCGGGGATCATAACTCCGAAACCGGAAGTGGTAGACTAACGTTAGTCTAGAGGAATTCATACCTCGATTTTCCTGCCCGGAATTAATTATTTCAGATAGGGGAACAGAATTTAATTCGGCAGTTATTAAACAATTAACCACTCAGATGGGAATCAACCATATTCTTACGTCAGCTTATCATCCTACCGGAAATGGAAAAACTGAACGTTTTCACCGCTTTTTAAATAATACTATGGCTAAATATGTAAACAAGAATCATGGCGACTGGGATACGTTTCTTCCTGGAATTGCGATGTGTTATCGAACTTCGATCCAAGAAAGTTCGAAGTATACGCCTTATTTTCTTGTTTATGGAAAGGATCCCGTACTGCCCTTAGATACCCTGTTACGTCCAACTCTGAAATATTACGGGGATGACTATGTTCCAACGATGCTTCAGCGTCTCAATCACGGTTTTGGTTATGTTAGGAAAAACTTGATAGATAGTCATGAAAAGAATAGGGAATATTTCAACAGAAGGGCAGTAGATCAAAAATTTGAAACTGGCGATCCTGTATATTTTTTCGATACCACTACAAAGTTAGGGCACTCCTCAAAATTAACGTCACACTGGCAACCATTTTATCGAATTGTAGAATGTTTTTCCCCTGTGAATTTCAGGATCAAACATCAACAAACGGGAAAATCTGAATTAGTTCATGCAGAGCATCTTCGTTTGGCTCACCCCGAAAATGCATGGGACGAAATTCCAGATGAATGTAGACCAGTTTTGGATAAATTTAAGAACACGAAATCGGGTGCAAATGAACCGAAGGGCACGCGTCAACAACCGTTACGTACGTGTCGAGCCACGGGATCCGACAGGATTGAGTCGGACGAGCGGGAAACTTCACTACCCCAGAGTCAAGGCAGGTCTCGAGACCGCCATATCTCCGAGCCACCCTCTGGCGAAGGTTTGCCGGGTAATCAGGCGAGCGCGAATGGGCCAACCTCAGCTCTCGGAGCTGGAGGACGTCCCACTGGCCCAACTAAGGGCAAGACTTCAAGGAAATAGGGGTACTACCGAGCCTAATGTAGTGCCCCGAACGACGACGAAAAGATCGGCAATTCACCCTCCATCAAGTGATGACGAAAAAAGAGCACGAACCGATTTTGCCTTGAAGAGAAGGGCACCACACTCTCCCGATCCTATTGATCTCGAGAAAAGAGCCCGATATGAATCCGATTCCGAACAATCTGATATGTCAGATATTGATTTCAATCCAGAGTTTCCACAGAATGAGTCTGATAGTTCTGTGCATAGTGTTCGGGAAATTCAAAGTACGTTTTCAAACAAATTATTGGGAGCTGTTATGCGATTTCTTGGAATCTAGTATTAACCTTCCCGAATTTGTTCATCCAACTTGGAGACATGTGTCAAGTTGAAATTGATTTCTGGTTTTCAGATATTCAAGTACTTGTGTTGAATTATGCATTCGTGCGTGCAGGGCATGCTGAATCGCCCACTAATTTACTTATTTCTGTCTCTTTGCAGGAGATACGAACAAGCCATGTTCTCTCTCTCGTTTGTGTTTTCGTTGCACTCGTTCTGTGCACTCGCTATGGCCAGCGAAGGTATCAAGTTTGTAAAATTCACCACCAATGCAGCTAGTTATTTTAGCTGGATTATAAATTTTCATTTCGAATTGACACCTTATGTCGAACAATTTAGATGTCTAATTTCCAAACCTCCATATCATCACTCAATGTCCCCTTTACAGCGAATGATGCAGCTCTCCGTATTCACAATAACCTCCGTGTTCTTTTAGCTCAAGGCTATAACAAATTATCTAACCTCCTTACAAAATTGCATTTGGCATATGCGGATTAAGCTTCTCTTGTTTCGAGTAAACGTTCAAAAAAGTCAAAAAAGTTCTATCGACTCAAATCGAAAAAAGCGTAGTTTATTACCTTTAGGTGGCGTTTTTTCATCATTATTCGGTGTTGCTGATGAAGCAGACGTTGACAAAATTCGTGCTAACGTCGAACTTCTACGAAGTTCCCAAACCAAAATCATTCATGTCTTGGAAAACGGTTTGTCTATTTTAAATTCCACTAACAAACAAGTTTCATTAAACCGTAGGTCTATAAATTCCCTCATCAACGCTACAAATGATTTAACTGAACGATTAGGTGCGGTTTACATGCGTATCGCCGAAGGTCTAGAACCCCAGGTTGCATATATTGAACTCGTATCAGAATTAAATAGTGTGTTAAGAATAATGTCATCGACTGTCTTTAGCTTATCCCAATCAGTCTCAACATTTCGCCAACAAATCACTGAAGCACTCACCGGTCGCTTGTCTAATTCCTTGGTTTCGCCAAAATTATTATATAAAGTCTTGTCTGAAATTCAACCCCAACTTCCCCCATCTATGGCTTTTCCCTATCCCTTGTCTAAGGCTAATTTGTCCAAATACTATGCACTACTCACCACTACTCTAGTTCCCGATCACCGTGCATTCCATTTACTTGTCGCCTTACCTTTGATTCAAAAGTCTTCTATGTATGAAATTTATCAAGTTGTATCTGTCCCCACTTTGTTAACAAATACTTCAAAAGTCGTAAAACTTGAAACGGAAGCCGAGTATCTTGCAATATCTCAAGATAGAAATACTTATTTATTATTAAATCAGTTGGATGTTACTCCCTGTTTAAATCCCTCGTTAAATTTTTGTAAATTTCAAAAGGCTTCTTTTTCAACAAAAAGTGCTCCCTCGTGTTTAAGTTCATTGCTTTTAAGAGATCTTACTTTAATTTCACAAACCTGTATTAAACACGTGTTACCCATACCGGCGATACCCACAGTTAAGGCCTTAACCAAAGGTCATTGGCTTATATTCTCCCCATTCCCCATGGACTTAGATTTAGTATGTGCTACTCACTCCCCAATACCTCCTTATCAGGTTATCTCAATAATTAAGGGTGTCAATATGGTGACTCTCCCAGCAAACTGTTTTGCTTATGGACCTGCTTTTAGTCTACCCGCAAAATCCCACATAGCTTCTAATTATCGTGTACGGGACACACCTCTTGATCACTTAAACTTATCGAAATATTTAAATGAAAACCTCTCCTCTATGACCTCCCCTTCCTTTCGATCCCCTTCCCAATGAAACTCTTCTGAGTCCACTTCCTGATTATGTACCCCCCCCGAACAGGACATCACCAAACTGTTAAATGATCTACAGAATTTACAACCACGTGCACAACCACCCGGTGTTTCTCACCCCTTAGTTTTCCCCTATATTATCATAGGCGGTGTATTGGTTGTCGCAGTTGTTGTTGTTTTATGTATTCGTTATCGTCCTAATCGATTTGCTAATTATATACTGGCCAAACGTAACAAACTTAGAGATAATGTTGTAAACGAGAGAGAGGAAAGAGAAATAGACATTGATCCGGTATCCAGAAAACGAGTTATGGAACCGATTGAGCAAGATGATCCAGAAACACCCCAACCCTTGCTCAAAATGCCCCGAAATATCTTCTAATTTAAAAAAAAAAATACCTTTGTTATTTTTTTTCACCATAGGGATGAAGATGTGTAATCTTGTTCATGTTTTGATATGTATATATTATCCTTTTTATTTTAATTATTGCATTATTATTATTTAGATATATTATCCTTTTTCCTTTTAATCATTGTATTATTGTTAGTATGGTACAAATATTTTATAATATATAGGTGTGTTATTGTCTTATGCTAATACTATATTATAAACACATTCCGTAAATAGCTTTCAGTCCAAAACACGATTGTACATTTAATTTTAATCCGTAAACTAGTTGTTAAGGTATTCAGATTAGTAATTACTGTAATTATTAATTAGCTTTCAGTCCAAACAAGGAACAAGATTGTTACATTGAATTGTCACGTGATATGAATCTCACTAAAAAGGTGGTTGTATTTTTGGATATGACACTGTTAACTATATTAGAAGTAAATTATAATGACGAACGTATGTATACTATTACCAACTTGACAGAATTCTATTAGCTTAATGATACAACTATGTAACTTTGCCATTTCTACATAAACCGTATCATTAAATTCGGTGGGTTACAACCTATATGTCTTCTATATAGACTGGAAAAGTTGTAAGCAAGTTGTTCTTAATTTACGTGTCATTTATCACGAAATTAACAATAAGGTATATAAGCTCTAAACTAATTTGAACGATTGTCTTAGATTTTGGGTCTACATTAAGCTAGATATCCCGGTACGAACAGCAAGTCAAGATACGGCTCTAAGTCTAGACCAACACGTTTCTACATTTGTAGACCGGTTAGTTTATTAACGTAATCTAACTAGTACGATAATTCCTAATTAGGAATTTATCGGACGTGAAGTTATTGCTGTAGACGTACATAGAGTTAAGTATAAGTTATTGAATTCTGTCAAGCGTGTGATTATTACAAATCTTTTGTAAACTTGTAAAGTGCTTAATGGAACTATAAACTATTTAAACCATTTGGAAGTTTGTGATAATTATCCCCTGGAACTTGAAACGAACCAGATAAAGAAGAATAGTCCTAACCATTAGTCAAACAACGATACAGCCAGAACAATACCCGGAATTAGACCGTTTTCACAACGGGCGGTCTAGAAGGTTCGAGAGTCATCCATATCTAGTCCCTCGCAAGAGAGGCTAGAGGCTCTCGGCCTTGAGTCAAGCAAAAGTAACCAGCAAGGTTACAACTGACCTAGGTCCATAGCAAGAACGTAGTCACATTGTCATGCCAAATTTTATACGACCATAACTAAATTATACCACTTTGTATTGAAGAGACAATTTCGTGAATATTTCGCCTATGCGTTTTTTTTTGACAGAATATATATATCGATAGGCATTAATTTGTAGTCGGTTTTTCTTTTCAGTTCCTGAAAGCAAAGCAAAACAATACGTATATATAGTGGTGTCACCATAGGCGCAATAAAGAATATAAGCTCACCTGAAGTTAAATCCATTAAAAGTCCAATAATAAACATCAGACTGGTCGCCATTTTCTGAAGAATATTTTATTATTATTATTATTATTATTCGTCTAATATTTTTATTATAAATCACAAATAATAGATTTGGCTACGAGGATAATATTTTGAATATTGACCATTATGTATTGTGTGTCTTTTCTCGTACACTTTTGTCTGTAAAGCTAAAGATATCTTCCAAGGTAGTGTAATAAACCACGGAAATGTTTGGCCTACTAATATGCCATCTCGTTGTGTAGTGTAGTCACCGTGGACAAAAATATTTACGTACTAAGTATGTGATACCTGTAAAAAATTCGTGCTTTGAAAATCTGAAATCCGTGCTTTGAACCAGCGGCTGCCAAGCAGGATCAGGATACGCCCACATTTTGCAAGAGGTGGATAGAGAACAAGCTAAAAACAGACGGGATTTTTTGTATAATCAGGGGCAATAATCCAGAAAGTTATGGTCTGAAATGCGCAAATATCAAAAGGGACTGAGATCTTTGGGATATAAAGATATGTTTTAAGTTTCATCAAAATCGGATAAACATTGTGACCTCTAGAGGGTCCACAACCTTCGTATTGCATACTTTTACACAATTTGCGTACAAAGAGCGGACATTTATTCGGGCAGTTTCATTTCGATTTTCCCGAAATTCGAATTCAACATTCATTATGGTGGAATGGTGATATATTTAAACGGTTTTTAAAATCCGAACTCAATCAAAATTACCGTGTAACGGTGATATATTCGAATGGTTTTTTTTAAATCGGATAATAATTGTGACCTATAGAGGGATCACAAGCTAAAAACGCAATTTTTCGTACAATCAGGGGCCATAATTCAGGAAGTTATGATCCGATACGCACTAATATTGAAAGGAACCAAACATGTATTTCAAGTTTCATCAAAATTAGATCAAAGTTGTGACCTCCAGAGGGTCTATAACTTTGATATACACTATTTGCGTATGAGGGCCGGTCATTTTGTCCGGCAGTTTTTGTCCGATTTTCACGAAATTCAAACTCAGCTAAAATTACGGTGTAACGAAGATATATTTGAACGTTTTTATAAATCGGATAATAATTGTGACCTCTAGAGGGACGTGAAGCTAAAAACGTGATTTTCTGTGCAATCAGGGGCCATAGTTCAGGAAGTTACGGTCTAATATGCGTGAATATCGAAAGGAACCAAGATAATTGGGTTAAAAACTTACATTTCAAGTTTCATCAAAATCAGAAAAAAACTGTGACCTTTAGAGGGTCCTCAACATTGATATACCACATTTTTACGCTACTTGAGTACGAGGGGTGGCCACTTTGTCTGTCAGTTTTGGTCCGATTTTTACGAAATTCGATCTCAAACATTCTTAGGGTGTAATGGTGATATTCAAACGTTTTTCTTTTAAACCGGATAAAAATGATGACCGCTATAGGTCCACAAGCTAAACAACGCGATTTTTCGTACAATGAGGGGCCATAATTCAGGAAGTTTCGGTCCGATATGCGCGAATATCGACAGGAACCGAGATCTTTGGGTTATAAACTTACATTTCAAGTTTCATCAAAATCAGAAGAAAATTGTGACCTCTAGAGAGTCCACAACCTTGATATATTATAGTTTTACGCTATTTGAGTACGAGGGGCGGCATGAGTACCATCGATCGGGTGTAACGGTGATATATTCAAACGGTTTTTTAAATCGGATAAAAATTATTAACTCTACAGGGTCCACAAGCTATATAAAAACACGATTTTTCGTACAATCAGCGGCCATAATTCATGAAGTTACCGTCCGATATGCGAGAATATCGAAAGGATCCGAGATCTTTGAGTTATAAACTTATATTTCAAGTTTCAACAAAATCAGATAAAAAAAAATGTGACCTCTAAAGGATCCACAAGCTAAAAACGTGATTTTTCGTACAATCAGGGGCCATAATCCATGAAGTTACGGCACGATACATGCCAATATCGAAAGGAACTGAGATCTGAGGGAGATAAACCTATATTTCAAGTTTCGTTGAAATCGGATAAGAATTGTGACCTGTAGAGTGTCCACAAACAATTGTGGACGGACAGGGGCGACAATATACGTCCACATGAAAATGCTATGTACGCTTGTCAATCTGACAAGATGGTATGGGGAAACTTAGCTATCATCATGATCATCGACCACTTTCGATTTGTGTTTCAAACGTTTTGTATTGTTGACGTATTCCCACCACCACATAAAGCACGAAACTTAAGAGTGAAGGTTCGTTTTTTGGCTTTGGATCGACTTTGTATGTTTCTTTGGACTGTAAATGATACTGACACACGGTTATAAATATGTTAATTCAGTTATATTTTGGTTATGAAAGTGTAAGCGTGTTATCGGAAGTCAAATTCTTGGAATTTTCATGGAAACCCAAAACACCGGAAACTGTGCTTCCCTAATAAAAACTTAAAACATCTGATGATGTAAAGCCTGGCAGAATAAGTCAATGTTTAGAAAAAAGTGTTCTGTTTGTGATAGAAGCATCAAATGTATCATGTGTCCGCTCTGGATACTTGTTTAGAAAACAGCGGCAAGAGATGGACAGAGAACAAGCTAAAAACAAAAGCGATTTTCCGTATAATCAGGGGGTATAATCCAGGAAGTTACGGTCCGATATGCACATTAACACAAACTCGGAAAACTCGGAAATTTAATTACAACTGCCATATTGCAGTATTTTGGTTAAAATCTAACTGAAAAGGCTATAGATCATGTCCAACTTATTAAATAGATGTGTTACTGTCACTCCATTCGCCATTTTTATTTCTAAAAGTTAGGTAGGCCTATTCTCGACACGACGTATATAGTATGGGAGAACGGGGCAGGTTCGGCCTCGGGGCCATGTGTCAAATTGAAATTGTACATATTACAACCCTTACATACCATATCGAATGAAAACTGTATTTTCGTATAGGCCAAAATACAAAACTCGAAAAACTCGGAAATTTAATCATAACTGCCATATTCCAGTATTTTGGTTAAAATCTAACTGATAGTATGGGAGAACGGGGCAGGTTCGGCCTCGGGGGCCATGTGTCAAATTGAAATTATATACACACCTCGTTTTAATCATTTCATCTTTTGGATGTCCGAGTTTTCGATCTCACCCAAGTTATCCCCGTAAAGGCGAGTTGAGTTCATTTGTACATATTACAACCCTTACACACCATATCCAATGAAAAATATTTTATTTTGATACCTTTTGACCACTTTCCGAGTTTTCCGAGTTTTGTGTTTTCGTATAGGCCAAAATACAAAACTCGGAAAACTCGGATATTCGATTATAACTGCCATATTGCATTATTTTGGTTAAAATATAACTGAAAATTTACAGATTATGTCCAACTTATTAAATAGATGTATTACTACAACTACTTTCTCCAATTAAAAAAAAATAATATTTTTGATAATTTTCCAACTTTTTCTCTTTCCGAGTTTTATGATTTGACTCGATTGAAAACACAAAACTCGGAAATGTCGGAAAAAATTGTCCGACTTTTTTGTTTGAATAGAAAACTCGGAAAATATTTTCCGACTTTTCAGTTTGAAACAAAAAGTCGGTCAATTTTTTCCGAGTTTTCCGAGTTTTGTGTTTTCAATCGAGTCAATTCATAAAACTCGGAGAAGAGAAAAGTCGGAAAATATTTTCCGAGTTTTCCGAGTTTTGTACCTGACCTTTCGCTAACGAGTTAGGAATGACAAGTGCAAGATGGGCGCAGAAAAACTGTAAATGGGACAAACATGTTAACATTAATTTAAGTAAAACGATTAATTGTCTTTAGAAACAACATATTCTTCCACATTTTGACTATTGTGGCGAATGATGGGTAAGACGCTGGCTCGCTAGCCTGGAAGTCGAGTGTTCGATCCCTGCATTGGCCGAGAAAGTTCATCCAGATTTTCCGGCGTGGTTCCCCCTTGTTAGCGGTGCAGGACGGAAGGCCTCACAAGGACAGCTGTCTAGTCGTTCGGATGGGACAAAAAAACCGAGGTCTCGTGTACACATTGGCGTGCACGTAAAAGATCCATTGACAGATGGAATTCGATATAAGTGTAGGCTATAGTGCCGCTATCTGGGTAAAATTTTCCTCACAGCACACTGTATGGTGTATGCCCGTTTTCATTAGCCCAATTCGGAGCGAAACAGTAGGACGTTAAACTAGATTTCATTTCATTTCTGATGTATGCAAAATATCTATAAATCTGTTACCACCCAATGCTATCAATATACATAATTTGCTATACGGTGTAAGCAACAGTCATTCTTCGTTAACCATCTTTGAAAAGGTCCACTTGTTTTTCGATATCAGCAGAAGGTTTTAAGATCAGTGTAACATCTATATCGATCATAACCAAAATCGTGTTACAAACATATTTTTAAATTTCGTCACAATTGGATAAACATTGTGATCTCTAAAGGCTCAACAAATGTGAACGTTTGTTCGGACTGACAGGAGCGACATAATACGCCCCTTTTTTGTGAAAAGTGAAAAAAATGGGAAAGAAGTGTGTCAGTATTAAGTTCGGATTGGCCCGTTGACCATTTTCCCCTCAAATAATATGCAGGCAATGCATCCTATGTGTAACAGATATGACTATTCGCTTTCGTCTCCTCTCGTAGACATCATTTTGAACCAATATGCACATCAAGAATGGAAATCATCTCTTCAGCCCCTTTAGGTCTTAGATTTAGATGGCAAATTTAAGATCTTGAAGTTGGGGATTTATGTAGTCAAGCTGTGATGGGTTAATAACATTCATTTAAATAAAGTGTTTTGTCCTTCGGGCTAAAACATGGAACCCCATGGATGAATACCTCGCCTTCGAGATTTTTTACCCTTTACAAACGAGTTAACTACATGCCACCATTCTTTTTTGCCGAAATTTTGATTATCCTTTAATTTATCGTCTAATTTGTCCTAATATGTTTTTCTTTTACATTTTCTAATCGAACTAATATAATCATTTCTAATCTTTCTGAATTTTTTTCAAA